CAGGCCTTCACCACCCTATTGTCTGTGTCTGTTCGAGTAATTTTATTTGAATGTTTCCACTGAATTACTCCTTTTGCCTCTTACAGAATGAAGATACTCAGATGTTGTATTAAATACCCCCTTCAGCAGAAAGTCTTCATCCTGTTTTTAACCCTGTGGCTGTTCTCCTTGTTGAAGCTTCTAAATGTAGGAAGACTCCTCTTCCCTCAGAGAGGCATTTACTTGGTGGAGCACTTCCTCAGCACCTCCCCTTTTGTAAGGAACAGATACACCCATGTTAACAACGAAGTCCAATATAAAGTTAACTGTTCGGGTGTCTATGAACAGGAGCCTTTGGAAATTGGCAAGTCTCTGGAAATTAGAAGGAGAGACATCATCGACTTGGACGATGATGACGTCGTGGCAATGACCAGCAATTGTGACGTTTACCAGATCCTAAGAAGGTATCATCAAAAGCTCGTTTCAAGGGAAGAGAGGAGCTTCCCAATAGCCTATTCTTTGGTGGTTCACAAAGATGCAATTATGGTGGAAAGGCTAATCCATGCTATATACAACCAGCACAATATTTACTGCATCCATTATGACCGTAAGTCACCCGACACCTTCAAAGTCGCCATGAACAATTTAGCTAAGTGCTTCTCCAATATTTTCATTGCTTCCAAATTAGAGACTGTGCATTATGCCCACATTTCCAGACTCCAAGCTGATTTAAATTGCTTGTCAGACCTTCTCAAGTCTTCAGTTCAATGGAAATATGTTATCAACCTGTGTGGGCAAGACTTTCCTTTGAAGTCAAACTTTGAATTAGTGTCAGAGTTGAAGAAACTCAATGGAGCAAATATGTTAGAGACAGTGAAACCCCCTCACAGTAAAACGGAAAGATTCACTTATCACCATGAGCTCAGACAGATGCCTTATGAATATGTGAAGCTACCAGTAAGGACAAACGTCTCCAAAGAGGCACCCCCTCATAACATTGAGATATTTGTTGGCAGTGCTTACTTTGTTTTAAGTCGAGCATTCGTTAAATATGTTTTCAACAACTCCCTCGTTAAAGACTTCTTTGCCTGGTCTGAAGACACCTACTCGCCTGATGAGCATTTTTGGGCTACCTTAATTCGGGTGCCAGGAATCCCTGGGGAGATTTCTCGGTCAGCCGAGGATGTGTCTGACCTACAGAGCAAGACCCGCCTTGTCAAATGGAATTATCACGAAGGCCTTTTCTATCCCAGTTGTACTGGCTCTCACCGCCGAAGTGTGTGTATCTATGGGGCAGCAGAATTGAGGTGGCTTATCAAAGATGGACATTGGTTTGCTAATAAATTTGATTCTAAGGTGGACCCTGTCTTGATTAAATGCTTGGCAGAAAAGCTTGAAGAACAACAGAGGGAGTGGATCAATTTGTCTTCAGAAAAGTTATTTATGGTTTAAAAATCCCACAATCTCATCATGATAAAATCTTGATGGAAATAAGGCATCTGATAAATGGAGTTAATATGGAGTTGTATACTATCCAAAATCCAGTACCATATGAGCTTAACTTTCTCATTGTTTGAAAGGGATCTAAAATTCCATGCACAAGGGAAAGTGATTTAGCCTTTGGTGACAACTAGCCTGCAGTTGGTTGAGTACTTTTGTTTGTTTCTTTAAAAAAACAAAGTTTTTATTATTGTTTTCAGAGAGGAAGAGAAAGGGAGAGAAACATCTATGATGAGAGAGAATCA